GAAAGAGAGAGAGAGAGAGAGAGAGAGAGAGAGAGAGAGAGAGAGAGCAACAGACAGAGACAAAGCAGAGAGCGAACGAGCACGGCATGATCAACACGACAGGAGCAGACGCCACAGGGGAAGCCCATCATCCCACAGACTCAACTGGACGTTTTGTCCCTGCATTCAGCGGTCACTCACACAAGGCCTGGCCCGGCCCCACTGAGACGAGCGGAAACTCGCAGCAACAGCTGAAAGCCTTTCGCACATCGCTATTATCTCTCGGTGTATGGAGCTCATCCACCCTAGCCCCTCCCCACCCTTTCCCTCTAGGCCGCATTCAAGTTAACCTTGGTAGAAGCCTGCTTGATCCCCCCCCCCCCCTCTTTAAAATAAGTGTCTCTTACGTATGACGTCATGGCGACCCATATGTGGCCCTACAGAGAATGATGACTGTGGTTGTACGCAGTTGGTCACGGAATTTTTAAACGGAGGGCTATACAAAAGTAGTACTAAGTAGTCTTTTACCTCAATTTTTACTCCTTGTCTTCCTCCTGGGGTCCGTGGGTCAAATCATCAGCATGCTCAAAAGACAGTCCGTTCTCTCTTTAAACATAACGGCGTGAAGTGAACCCAAGTTCGAAACCAATGGGGGATGTAGGCCTACTTCAGATCTTTGAATGGCTGGTACTCCGTAAAGCTTTCCACTTCGTAAGATCGGAAATGGACTCTAGTTCAAAGGCCTACTTTACTGTCTTGAACGATAGAGTACTGTGCTGAAAGGCGCCTAAAAACTCTAACATGAGCAATACCTCACTGTACTTGTTATAGAATAATAGAAACTGGCGTCATCATGTGGATGCACAAAGCTCCAGAAACCAAGACAGGTTACCAACAATTCGTGACAGAATTTCCCAACCCAACACAAGAAACCAGTTAATTTCTCCATCTCGGCCTTTATTGAATATTTGTAAACCGAGGACAAGGACAAGCATTTCTAATCTCCTCCCACTCTACTCCTCTTTCTCTCTTTCAAAGACATATGGGTCCATTAAAAAAGACATAGCATGTGTACACCAAAACACATACATGAAGTAATTACAAAGTCATCTTCTGTCAACAAGACACACACACAGACAGCACACCCAGGATGAAGCGGCCTCCTCATACCCCATGTTCTCTCAATACACAAGAGGCACACATAGACCAAAATAACACAGAAAGTGCTGATAAGTCGCATAATCCCTAAACCACAGTATCCCAAAGTGGGTCAGCTGATCCATAAATTATCCCATACCGCAAGACAAAGTGACATGGTCACACATTCAACAGATGATCCATAAAGTAATCAACACATACATATTATTGCAAAAACATCTCAACAATACAAATAGAGTAGACAATCATCCCTGGACTGCAATGAACATCGCAAAAACATCTGCCAACAAATGTTTATGGTCACAGCATACTTCCAGTCTGACCACATTTGGAAAGATCAATTCTGATCAGCGTGTCACTTAGTTCACTTACTTAGGCAGTAGTTTTTTAACCATATCCATATGCCCTAGGGTCATTTTGTACCCCCAGGGTTGTATTCTTCACATTTTAGAATACTTCTAGCATGAAGATCTCTTTGAAACTTTCAGTATTTCTCAAAAAATCATTTCGACAGACTGCTGTGCAAAACGTACGGATCGGATTAATGAGTATATTTCCTCTTTGGAAAGTGGTGGCACAGAGTTCCCCTATGTCGTATGTATACGATAGTAAAACACGACGTACACATAGGGTTAAGCAGTAGGAACAGTATCAGGGAGCTTTAGCTTTAGTATCGGTAAGACTGAAGAGTTTTATGGCACTTGCAACAAAAATAGGTCATACAAGTGCCAAAGATTAGAGGGTTCACTAAAGAGTAACGTACAAAGAAAAGAAAAAAGAGATATGACTTAATACAAGAACGACAGATGTTTGATAGGAAAGAAGGAGCAAACCACATCAGAGCGCCTGCCAACCATGCCCTACCTGAGTTCAAATGGACATCTTCAACTCCTTGGAGTTGGAGTCGCAAAATATTGTGTAATAAAGCAGTCTAGATTAGCAAACATTAATACTGCACCCTAGTTAAACGAATTATAAGATAAAAAGAAGTGTGACACAAGGCTCTCGCAGGCAGATTTCCAGTGTGACTTTACTGAGTTAAGAAAGAAGTTTGAGCAATCAATTCACACTAATACAAAATTTTCACTCCTACACACAATATGCCTTAGTCAGAAAAAAAACATAGTTGATATTATACTTAATTTAAACATTAACAATACATATGCACATGGTCTACAAAAGAAAACATTTCATTATTATATTTAATACATGTATACAATTATTTATTAACATTACATGAGTATAAGAAGCTCCTTTTTCCCACAGCCATGCCACTCTCACTACTAATTACTCAATGTTATTCCAATCTTCCACATTATTACAAGAAATAACATGTGGAAAAAAAAAACTAACAAAAAAACAGACTTCAGGATCAGCATCTTTTGTCCTTTCACATAAAATTTTGTTTGATTGACACAAAAGAAAAAATCACAAGGCACAGATGACGTAATCTGAATTGGAGCCCCATACTATCACAAGGGCCACATATGGACAGTTCTCCTGTTGTTCTAAAAGATTTCTCTCTGCAAAAGAAATTGAACCACAACCCTTCACACAGGGGTCGCTGGAGTTGCTGCTGCTGCTTCTTATGTGAATGTGCTAGTGAGCATATTGATGACCCAGGAGTCAACTTGAGTGTATAAAGAAGAGGGTGTATGTAGAATGGGAATGCGCATCTGTACCAGAAAGTGAGTGAAAATTCTGCTGAGTATGTCTAAAGACGAGACCTAAGACAAGTGTGTGGGTAAGTAAATGTTATGGAGAGTTTGAGAGTTGGTGCTGACATGAGTGCATGTTTCTGCATGTTTCAGTAAGTGTGCGCGTGTATCTCTGTGTTTCAGTAAGTATGAGCGCGTATCTGTGTGACAATCTGAGTCAGACGATCAGGCTACCAATGTATATCTGGAATGCACATCCTGACCAAGAGGACCTGCAAAACAAAAAGAGAGTAATAAGCAATTTTTATACAGCTGGAAATGACATAGAGAAACGGTGAAATTGCAATACCTGAAAAGGTTGAATTTTTTCGTTCCAAAATGGGGGGAAAGGTTTCTGGAACTTACCAATTGCAATGCATTTCTTTACAAAAAAAATTATTTCTTCCCCAAACCTTTTCTTCCTCTCTTTCTCTCACACACCAATTCTTCTTCTCTGTGCCCCCC